CTCCTCTCCGGATTCTCTCCAGCGCTTCAGCTTTTCTTTTGGCTTTCTTCATCTTCTTGGAATGTTGGCCGCCTCGACGCTTCTTCAAAAACAGCTGGGAAGACATTATTTTGTGATCAAAGTTTAACTGAGACGACTTGTGACAAACTGACAATAGTTACTAGTATGACCATGCTTAACATCTAACATTTTTCTTCTTATAACCACACTTATTAGCTCCGTGAGCGGACAAGATGAATCAAATCCTGCGGGGTGATTGGCTACTCGAGCGGGCAAGATGGAGCTATCTTGGACTACCCGGACTACCCGCCGTGTTCCGCAAGAGAAATTTCCCCGAAAACCATATAAGAAATCCTTTATTGACCAAGTTTGTTCGGTCAAGATGGCTGGATATTGGCCACGTTCTTTTTTTGCAAGTTTATAGACCGACGGTCCCTAAACTTGCAAAAAAAGAACTCAACCAATATCCAGCCATCTTGACCTCACACTTGGTCAATAACCCATATTTGGTGCTTTTGACGTTACTGACTTTGATGTAGCGGTAAAATAATTATGCAAAACGTATGTAACATGTGAATCTACTCCGACTAGTAGATGATCTTAAAATGTAGCTCGCGGCGAGTTTAGTATCTACCGGAGTGCAAAAGGTCAAGGTTTCGACTCCCATTTACTCTACTTGGTACTCAGAATTGTCTCTTTTTAATCCTCTCTCCGAGTCAAACTCAGTTAGTTAAAGGAGCTACGTCACGGGTTCCGCATTTTGAAAAGTTTGGCCTCAATTGTTCAAGTTCGTCGTTTGTAATCCGCGTTAATCTTCTCCATCCTTAACCATCTTTGTTCCTTTACACTTCATTATTATCTCCTTGGCCTGTTTCTATCTTGGTAAACTACTATTTTCGGGTTTCCTTCGATTTGAAGGTAATTTAGTATGTGGCCAAAATACATGTAATTCAACATTCCGTGACTGAGTTCCTTTAATGAAAGAAAAACGCTTTTACCAGATAGATTTTTATTGCTTATAGAATTCCTTCTTCCCCTCAGTTATTTTTCCGCCAACAAGAAACAAAAAACAAACAAACAAACAAACACAAAAAACAGCAAGAGAAAAACATTTCTGCACAAACACAGAGGTCTCCCTCGGCGCGATGCGAGTTTTGCACGTGAAGTCAAGCTACGAATTGTGTTTCATAAGGTCAACGTTGATATGATTTGCTAGGAAACAGAAATTCAGGAGCAGAAATAAATCTATTTGGTAAATTTGGCTAAATGTAATTTTGGCTAAGTTAAACGCGAGACAAGCTTGCTGGCTAGCAGTCTCCCTCAGAGTGAGTTTGGAGTGGCCAGGGGATTTGTGCAGGGCAGTCTGGATTTTACAGCTCGGCTTCGGGTGTCAAATCATTCCGCATTTGCTGCTGGACAGATCTTGTTTTCTCCCAGCCCACCCATCCCCCTTCGGTTTGAGGGTAAGGATGTGGTAAGTATCCTGTGTTTCCACTGTTTTTTCAATGTAACGGTGTCTAGTGATTGCTGCTCACAGGGTTGTCATGGATACCCCATGCGCTCAGTTTAGTTTGCTCTCGGGCTCCACCATCCTTTCAGGCACCATTCCCCAAGCTCATCGTTTGTTGATGAATTTAAATGCTTCTACATGTAATTACCTTTTCATTAGCTGCGACTGTCAGGTCCACAGCAAAAGAAGATACCATCGATAGAAGTGAACCGTCTTCCAATGTACCTTCCTTTGGCGGATTGCTTGGAGGAAGCTTCTGTGCACCAGGCTTGGATTTTAGAACAGCTTCTGTGGACTTATCCCCTGTACCAGGCTCTAGTTTTGTGCCTGCCTTCTGAGATGTTAGGGTAAGTTTCTGTGTGCCTTTGAAGTCCTTTTTTGTTCCAGCTGGATCATGGCTTCTGTTCTGAACATGCCCTTTTGCAACCTAAGCGTTAACAAGGGAGAGATTCCATTAACACTTCACTACCAATATGGGAACATAAATTCTCCCTACTAATGGCTAGTCATTTATTTTGNGGAGACATTCCATTAACACTTCACTACCAATATGGGAACATAAATTCTCCCTACTAATGGCTAGTCATTTATTTTGATATTGTTACTGAGAATTTCCAGGGTGCAAAGAAAAACAATTTTGAGCTTGCTCTTGAGGAAATGTTAAACTGTAGGTATTCTCACTAGTCCCACCAAAACTTTCTTTGATATGACTGTTAAAACTTGACTGCCTTGTCTATGAAAAGTTGTTTTTTAAAGGAGCTTAAACCATCACTCATCGTGCAGTTGGTCAGAATCTGCTAACCCTACTGTAAAATCCACCAGTCCCGGGCTATTGGACACAGCTTTCTTTGCATGCTGATTTGTCTTTTTTTCTTTAAGGGCCATTAACTGGGTCATTGAGCAATGGTTCTTTCCTACCAGAGGAGCATTGTGTGAAAATTCCAATGGTGGTTAAAGTTTGCTAGCATTTTCATTAAAAAATATCAAGGACTGCCAAGGAGATCATTCCAAAATCAAATCTGTTAATCAACCTACAATTTATTAAATGATGCAATTATAGTCACATTTAACCTGCAAGTATGCACATTGTTTGAGCAGTATAAAGGAAAACATTCAGGATT